GTATAAAATGTTCGGTGACACCCGAACTTAGCTCTTGTTTAGTTTGGGACTTATCTACTGATTTGTCATTTAAAATGCTACCTTGTTGAAAAAATTTAAAATCATTTTAGAAATCGTAAAACATTGGATACAAATATTTTTACTTCATTTTTTTATCTAGGAATAAAAAGTTAATAAATTTATTAATGACATGTTACTAAATTTCCTTAAAAGTAAAAGTTGTTTGATTGTTTTATTTACATTTTTCACCATTTAAAGAAGGATCGACCATAACCTCTAGACCACTTAATTAACAACGCTTTATATTTTGTTTAAAAAAAAAGACATTATTTTGGCTAAGATTTAGAATACAATCTCCCCATTTCGTGGTAAAATATGTATGTACGGATAGAGGAGGTTATCCAGGTTAAGAATAATTATATATAGGGTTGAGGTTGGCGCTGACTTATAATTCTTGGAATATTTTTATATAACGATCAAAAATTCAACTATTTAAAGTAGGTGTACCTTTTATTTATAAAAAATAAATATTTATTTGGTGAATGCCGGTGTTAACTAGTGTGCAAAACCATGATAACAACATAGGTTGTAACTAAAAATTTTATTTTCGCACCATTAATAATTACAGAGAATAGGAACATCATATGGAAATGGTTTAAATAGAATAATGTATTTAGAAACAACACAAAAAAAAACAATATATTAATATTTGTAAAAAATTATATTAATTTGCATGCTCGCTTTAGGCAGTTTTTAACAGTACTAATTCTTTCTTTAGAATTTAAATACAAACATTAAAGGAAATAGGGAATAGGAAAATTTATCATCAGAATATAGACATCAATGAAAAATTTTCACATTACATTTTTAACGTTTTATTGTCGTTGTCGAAAAATTTCGATTTAGAAGCAATCATCATATAAATCTCCGAATTAAGTATAGTATAGTATTAGTATATTAGTTTTAAAATGGCAAACATCCAAAAATAAAAGATCTGAAATAAAGGTATTTTTTCTTATCTACTTTTAATATTACCGGTATAATCTTCAGATTTGTAGAATTATAATTTAGCATATACGGTCAGCGCTAGAACAACAGTATTACGATTTGTAATCAATAATACATATTTGCAAACCATTGAGAAAAACCAGTTTTTATTCACCACACACCCACGAAATTTATCCAAATCGGTTAATAGCATATTTCTTTATGCATAGTGGTGTAACTAAAAACAACTTTTCATACTACTATTATTATTATAACAATTTTCCAACTACAGTCCACCACATGATCGAGACCAACATCTCTTTTCATGCAGGCTTATTCAAGTCATTGAACTGCTGAAAATACCAAGTATGTATGCATATTGTTATAACCATCTCAAATACTGAAGAACCAAAATCAAAGAAATATATTTAAGAACGTAAATTAATTTACATCATCATACGTGTACATATTTAGACAAACACACATGGAGAGAATGTTATATTTATTAATAATATTTATATTAATTCAATTCATTTTCTTTTACTCTAAAGTATTAAATTTACTTATTATTTTGGTCAAGTATCTAGAATGAAATATATCAAAACCGCTTCACCAAGCATAACTAAAATTTTTATGTCAATCGGTAATTCGCAAAGCATTTGCATCTCAGAAAAGGCAATTGCACAAAGCAATTTACACATTTGCGTATAGAACGGTCTAAAACATACCTACATATGTATATATCATACGTACATATGTATATATCTACTTGTATGTTGCTACATAAATGAGATACCGCAACTATGATATTTCAACAAGCCTTTTAACAATAATGTTTTTTTTTCGGCCGACTTACTACTATAAACTGTGAATCTGACCCTTCTTTTCTAGCTTTTCTTCAAAGATTATTTTTTATTTAGTTATATATTTTTATTTAAAATATGTAGTAATTACGAATTAAAAAGAAATATAAATTGACATCTCATTTTGAGTTTTTGTTTAACTAAGAGCAAGGAATTGTAGATTTCTCACTGGGAAAAATTGAACCTAAAGTTTTTGCAGTAATCTATCTATCTTCGGCTTGCACCATTTTTTATACTCTCATAACGAAGTTGCTAAAGAGAGTTGTTGTTGTTGTTGTTGTAGCGGCAGAGTTCTGCCGAATTGACAGTCCTTGACCGAATAAATATTCGGGTCCGTTCCGGTTACGTAGACCCGACT